CAAAATGCTGGCTAATCCTATTCCTTAATAATCTAGAATTAACAGAGAAATAGCAGATAAAAGCAGCTACGAAATATATTTTTCATTATAAAATAACAAATTTATTTAGGCATTATATTTTAACATATTGTAGAACCTGGAAAGCTACAACACCGATTATAATTCAACAATCATAACCTGAAAAGTACAGATAAATAGGGGTTACTGAAAAATTCTCACAACTTTATTCTACTAGCAGTTCATTGTGTTATACTAATAAAACTATGCGAACCTTCCTTCAGATTTTGAAAATATCTTTTCCAAATCGTTTTTTCCTCATTTTAGACAGCTGTCATTCTGAGGATTTTAATGCGCATTATGTGAGGGATATCAGTGAATAACTTGATGCATGACTGATAATAAGTACATGTATATTTTTCTGCAACTGATTTCATTCTCCACTTCCTCTTTAGTTTTGATCACTTTATCATTCAAACTGTTGATGATGAAAGGGAGTGAACTTGTCGAGAAAACAAAAAAAGTCTCTTTTCCTGGAGCTAATTTGTTTTTTAATTAATCTGTCAGGTGAAGTTAAATACAATGCAGGCATCAAAATTTATTCAAATATTATATTTTATTGCATATATAGGATAATTTAGCTATTACATTTAATTATAATCTCCTTATGACCCGAGCAGAGCATAGAGTTTCAGCAGCACATCTCCATTTGATTTCGTTATTTACAATCCTCTTTAACTAGCTCCACGACTAACCGTTAGGTCTAGCGCCCTCCTCACACAATCGCCTTGATGTCGATCTCGAATGTCCATATTGTTGTTTAGCGCTCAAATTCCTGTGAAGGCCTGGTGCGAGATATTATTCAGAGTGTGTCCATTACATCTCCATTTCCTTGGGCATATTTTTTGAGCAATAGGCTCTTGTTTGGTTTATTCTAAGAGTTTCTCCTTTCTGTTCCTTTACATTTCCAGTGTAACATAAGACTGAAAACTAGAGGCCTGGAGTTTCGGTAGCAGTGGCGTTTATTTTTACAGAATAGGGTTGTTAGCCTCATGCCCAACCTTCCCTTTTCACCGATCTTATTACTAGTTTAGTGAGGTAAAGGAATGCGTCTGCCGGGGATCAAAATCTGGACCACATGCGTGGTTGGCGAGCATTCTACCGCTATGCCGCCGAATCTCAAGAGTTATTTGCTACTTAACATTTCCAGTTGGCCATCCAATCTTCAGTATGATGTGAAGGTAGCTGTTAATGAAAGCTTGTAGTAGTCTGTTGGAAATGTTTTCGCTGACGTGCCAAGTCAAGAACCAAATAGAAGAAGTGACCAGGCATTGGTAGTAAGAATCAGGATCTTTTCCCTGTCTTCACTGCCTGCTTCTTCTGATATCTTGTTGGTTTTTTCATATAGATCTCCGAGTTTGTGAGTCACCAATATAAATCATCCACAAAGTACAAATCTTCTAGGGTATTTTTTCGGTCCAAAATTTTGCTGTTTTCTTGCTCCCTATGATCTGTCTAATGATCCACTCCACAACAGTTATGGATAAAATCAATTATAGTAGGCAGACTGAATAAAAACAAGTGCACTCTCAAAAAGGATGTTTCACAATCCAAGCTAATGGTCTATCAGATGAGATTTGAAAATCAATCAGATCGTTCATCTTTGACGTCTATTCTATTCCCTCAAATTGCGTAGTAATTTGAGTTTTCCACTTAGCGTTACGTTAGCATTAGGTTTAGTATTAAGGTTAAAGTTGAGGTTGGGTTTGAGGAATTCGTGATAAACTGAGGGTTCATTTGCTTAAATCTAATCTTTAAGGATTGTTACAGTGATTCGATTCTTTTTTATTCATTAATTCATCTTCTACAAAAGTTTCTCATTGTGATACTTTATGATTATCACAGAATCTATTCCGTAAAGTTGTGGCAACGATTGAATCATCAGTTTTGAGATCTTGGCGCATAGCTCTTAGTTTTAAACTAATGCTAACCGTCAGTTTTGCAGGTTGCTGTGTGTGTGTGTGTTGTGAATTCAGAAAAGCATCTGTCTACTGAAACAGAATTTTTGGTGCATGGTGATCAGGTGTGAACATGTGAAATTTGTTTATTTTCAAGGCATTATTTGGTAATTTTAGCAAGCTTTAATTCTACACTGTGGTCATAGCTTAATTTTTTAAAAAAATTGTTAACTCCTTTTAGATCCATTTGTAGTTTTTGACTGTTTTACTTTCGTATATTTCTTCATTTGCTTACACTTTTGTTGAATTCCCTAACTAGGTATAATTCGGTTAGATGAGATCACCTACTTGCATAAGCTGAACCGTAGGTTAGTTAACTATTTACTTTTGCACAGAATTTTCAGATGAAATTTATTGCTTTTCTTATTTAAAAGGCTTTAAGTAATTTTTATATACAATATTTTCAACTAGGAATTGTTCCTATTTTCGTTTGTGTTGATAAAGGTTGGAACATTTCAAGCACGACTAGTGAAGCTATGAGCAGAGGAAGAAAACATTTGTTAAGTGGAGATTTGTAGTTAGGATTAACGAACCAATAGCACTAGAAGGATCTCTGGAGTGAAAATGACGATAAATGAAGGATTTATCGTAGCCTACGGCTTGTTACCCTACAATCCTATAATATCAATCCTATAGTATCAAGATATAAGGGAAGTACTTTATTATTTAGCCAGTAACTATCTACTGACTTTTGAATTCTAAGTTCTGTCATTTCGCTATATACTCCTGTCTTAACTGACTGTCTTCAGTGCATTATCTGTCTTTACTGCATCCAGGTGCATTTCACCAGCCACGAATTATCAATAGAATCTTCAAAAGGTTATATGAAAGGTAGTCCCTAGTGAGGGATCAGTTGGCATACGAATATTGAGTTTACAGAATTGGACCAATCTTAAAGTTGACCCAACAAACATTCAGTGGTGAATGATAGTGTATTTATCAAGTGGAATAATGTTTGCAGACATATTTCTTAGCACGTTCCTCGGCAATTATCAGTGAAGCTTGTTTTCTGATATTTTTTGTGATATTCATTGAATTTAAACTGTCACCAAACACATACCATGGCCTACCGTGGTCTGACTAACATTCAGGATGGATTATGCAATAAAAATTCTATCATTTCACAATTTATTGGCATTATTGTCTGGTGTCACTTATGAGTATGTGTCCTCACACGCGACTTAGTGAGTCCTATTGGTCACTGCTTTTCATTCTAATTGACTATTCGATAGCGTTGCTGAAGTGCTAGAGAGAATTAGTGAACAGAGGGACGAATTTCAAACACTTGAATCTCATATGGACTAGAAGCTGGTAGTTGTTAGAAACTGTTTCATTGGTTTTACAATTGCATTTACCAGTGAAAATAATTTTAGCTATTTATTGACTTAGGTACTATGTAACGATTCTGTAACTACTTTTAACGCCTAGCTTATGCAAAAGGATTATTTGGTATGCACAAGTTACAAAGGTCTATCATACCCTGGTGTTCCGGATGGAACATAAGGCATAAAAAGCACATCTCCACTGTGTCCAGTTCTCTAGAGTCCTCTTTAACTGGCCTTACGATTACTAATAAGCTTTAGTCTCCTTCTCACACGATTTCCTCCATATGACCCTTGGATTTATGCTCTACTCGTCATTTTCTATTTGAATTCCACTCGGGCCACGGCTTGGCGCGCGATGTCACCTGATGGCTTCCTCAGCTTGTGTCCCATCCATTACTTGCAGCAGTTCCACGTTGCTTTTCCCCTCTTGCTAGTAATCTGATCTTCATTATGAAGCCAAAGAAGGCAACTGTTGATAACAGTCTGAAACTGGCTGTTGGAAATGCTTATCGTGAAGGTCCGACTTCTGATCCATATAGAATAAATGACCTGATATTAGTGATAGGAACCTGAATGTTATTCCTCATGCTTAATGCAGCGGATTTCCACACTGATTCCGGAATGATGAAAGTCTGTCTTTCTTTTCCATTCCTGCCTTTAGCATCTTCATCCATTCTGGCGTCTGTAGGTGTAACGATATTACCCAGATAATGAAGAAAATGACCTATTTCAGATTTCTTCAGTTGATAATAATCGGTGTTTGTTATTGGTTGGTTATCTTCATCGTCTTAATGTTCACTTAAAATCCTTTCTTTGCTACCTGCATTTTCTGCCAGCTTCTTGTGCCAGGTGGAACTAAGTCGAAATGGATTATGGTTTACACGACATGGAGGCGGACTACACTAAATGCTTTTCATGACGTTATTTCAGCCATATTATTTCTCCGCATAAAACTTGGACACTGTGGTAGTATAAAATTCTGTATTAATTTTTTATTCGATACCAAGCAGTATTACTTACAGGATGGCTTTTCGAGCACAATTTATTGTTCGAAATCATATCTATTTTTACATGGTTAGGAAAATTAAATTGTGTTCAGAGCTTCATCCAGTATACAATGGTGTCTCACTGTGTGATCTGTCCAATAAACAAGTTAATAAGGAAATATTATTTTCCAGCTTTCACATATTAATGTGATCTGAACAGGTCTACTTTAAATATATAAACTCATTCCGGGGACCAAAATCTCATTTCACGTTAATCGTAGAGTTGAACTAAATAGGACTTTCCATGTAAATATTTTCTATACTTGTTTCTGAGATCAGAGTTTATCCAATTTCTTTTGTTTTTCAGTGTTTTACATTACTTAGTTTCGTAAAACACTTCTTTTAGTAATGGAATAATCAACTCGCTTAACTAAGAATGATCAAAACCTCCATATTTAAAACATGGATATGATTGGTTGAATTTGCCCAATTCTGCTGTGATTGGCTGGTTATTTTTAACATTATTTTTAATTGGACACTAGAATTATTATTTGTTAAAAACAGGTCCCAGTATTATAATTATTATCATTATAAGTGTGTTTAAATTACTTTACGTAGTAAACACCGATAACTTTCATATTTACAAAATAAACAAAAAGTAATTATCAGTGAATATGAGATCTGAAGTAGATAATTATGATGAAGCAACTAGTTGGAATGAAAATGTTTATGTACGTACACCATCCGTTAACAACTTAAGGGTGAGTAGATTTCGACGTACTGCTTCAAAAGCATGTCTATTCAATATAATAACCACGATAGCTTTAATTATAACAGCATTAATTGCGCTTGCTTATGCTCTATCATACTATGGTATATGGAATAGTAGATCGCATTTAGATGTTGTCAGTATATTCTGTGGACAAATTAAAGGTGTTCAACAGAATAAATATGTAATGAGCTTTCTTGGGATACCTTACGCATTACCACCAATTGATGAAAATCGATTCAAACCTCCTCTACAGTTGTCTTCAAAAGAATTGTGTCAAAAAGCCTGGGATTTGAGTAATATAACAGTGGTAAATACAGTTTATTATGCACAACATTATAAACCGCCGTGTTTACAACTTCAACCAAAATCTAAACATAATGAATTTATAGGAAGTGAAAATTGTCTTTATTTGAATGTACATGTTCCGATTACTAATAAGAAATCAACAGAAAATCTTAAACCAGTAATTGTTATCTTAGATGGATTATTTTTTATGTACAATAATGAACCGAAACAACCAAGTACAGATACAATATACAAAACAGATGCAATACATGTTACATTCAATCATCGTATTGGTCCATTTGGATTTTTACCACATCCAAATAAAAAGACACCAAATCTTGGATTACATGATCAATTATTAGTTTTAAAATGGATACGTAATAATATTGTTCATTTCGGTGGGGATCCATTGAATGTGATCTTATTTGGTTATGGATCTGGTGCAACATGTGCTTTAACTTTACTCTATAGTCCAATAAGTAATCATTTGTTTGACAAATTGTGGATTACAGCACCAGGATTAAGTTTATCAAATATTACTACAGATGAAGTAATACATAAAACAAATCAAGCATTAAATTGTCAAAAAGAATTTAATCCAAATTTCTGTTCAAGTCAAAAATTTCAAAACTCGCAGAATATTTTAAATTTATGGAATTGGACAATTGTTGAACCCTGGTTAATCAAAACAATACTCAGTCTACCTTCTATACACGACTTGAATATGCCACAAACAGATAAATTCATAAATATTTTAATTAATGACGATAAATTTGTGAGCACTGATATGTGGAATAAAATTGCTCAAAGTAATATTAAACCAATGGTTATTGGACAGACATCGCATGAAGTTTCAGTTTATCCAACACCGAAAACAGTACCATTTTGGAATAAAGTGTTTTACAAAAACTACATTTTAAAGAGATTAAAACGTAATGCTTTTAACCCTTCAAATCAGTATTATGAGGAGCTTTTATCGAAGTCTTTATCAGTTTAAACTGCGCTCGTTTGGGTGACCTATTAGATGTGGATGACATCCAAAACATAGGTGACGCTGTTAATAATAACGATGGTGACTGGTTCTCCAGTCTGATGTCTTTGATAACTGACAGCCGGGTAACTTGCCCACTGACTGAGTTAGTCAATCAGTTTACAAACTCTCTCACTCCAGTTTATCAATATTATTTAACCGGTACACACAGAAGCTTTGATCCATATTCATTATGGGGATTTGTACCATACGCTTTTCATGGATGGGATGCTATGCTATATCTACGCACCTATGAAACACACAGTGATTTTACTGATCCAAGTTTAGTGCAATCACGTGACCACTTAAAAAATGAACAAGAGTTAATTCGTCTAAGAAAAATCAGTGATCTGCTCAATTCAGCTATGCATGAATTTGCACGAAGCGGTGTTATATCTAGCTGGCATAAGTCAACTAAAGACACGTATGATGTCAATCTTATTGAAAATGATCAGTTATGCAAATATGTAAATATAATGAAGAAAAGATGTGATTTTTGGAAGTTAATATTTGAAAATAATTTATTCAATTTCACATGGAGATTTTAATGTATTTTCATCGGCTTATCTTCCCTACATCTCAGTTTGTTTGAATGTGCCGGCGTAGAGTCTACACAATCAATTTATCCTTGAGTGAGAATAAACCAGATCTCAAAAAGCAGATTTTATTAAATGCAAAGTTATGCCTATTTTTTTCTAAAAGACAAAATTATGATTTTAAATTTAAAATGCACACACTGTCTTTCACATAAATGTAAATTATTCAATGGGTTCAATGTTTGTATATATATATATATATATATATATTACCTACACCTACGCTACATGTAACATTTTGAAATTTGTAGTGTTCAAGATTGAAGTAATAAGTGTAGTAGTGTAGTGTTTCTACAGATTAATAGATTTGTTGAATAACACTCATTAATTTATAATTGATAGATGTACAATTTCATACAATCCAGACTAAAATCTATAGCTTTAGTTTTACTCTAGAAATTTAAATGTTATTGGCGTTTCCATTGGAAACCATTCAAACAAGAGAAGGGATATGGTTTGTTTGACATTTGAAAAGTATGCTGTTTTTAATGAATACTTGTTTTCATTTGTATATATATGTATCCATTAATACTGTCAACTTATTTTATGCTAGAATGAAATCACAAAACTGTTGAAACATTGAGTAGATAGTCACTGAGAATGCATGTATATATATATATATATATATATATATATATATATATATACTTATTTAGAATTTTTGTCGTGAATTATACGAGCTTGAGTGGTTTAATACAGAGTGATTTTTGTTTTGTAATATGTGTTTCAGAGATGAATGATTTCTAATTTGTTTGCACTGATGGATTTCACTAATGAAAATGACTTAGTTTTCTCTAACATTATCGCCCAGTTAAATTCAGTTTTTAAATTGCGCCCGATAAATTAGTTTGATGTAGACTGACTGAGGTTTTGTAAAGTTGAACAAAAAACAGTTGATTGATAAGTTTATCTTTCAGGTATTATATACCGTATTCAACTGTTGTGTGGGAGACTATCAGTGATATTAAGTTAAATCTGACGGATCATTATTTTAAATCAATGGTAATTCGATAATTACTGAACGGAATGATAAATGGATCGACGTTTAAAGATGGACTAATTCCATTTTTATCTTGATAATAATAGTTTAAGATGATTCCAGGGGGATATTATTAATACCTTGGTACTAAAAATATGCATATAATTTAAGGATCAAAGCCTAAATAAGTTTCTGACGCCTGAAGATCTATTTGAATCGATAGAACCCTTAAGTACTTTACGTTCATAATACGATGCAGTCTTTCAGATACATCCGGTTTGTTGGTGAATTCACTGTGTTTACTACCACTTTGTCAGTAGTAACCGGAGATTTCAGTTACTCTGACCACAGTTTGCTAACGTGAATAAGGCATGAGGCTCAACTGGATGCATTCATGTATCTAGTGTAGAAAAATGACTCTGGCATATATGGAGGTAGCTGACCAGTTCCTCTGCTAAATCATAACCATTGTATCATAAGTCTTTAATCAAAATATGTGTATAAAAAACACAAAGGGACTTTAATTGTTGGTTTGTAGGGATTTGGTTGATTACAGGATTTCATCATGAGCTGACATTAGTTAGAGAACCATTGGAAAACCAACAGGGAGTACTAGAAAGCTGTTTCGTCATAGTTTGGGACTCCCCAGCAGTACGCACCCATCACAGGGGTTCGAACTCAGGACCTTCTGGTTACAAAGCGAGCTCGTATACCATTGAGACATTGGGACCCTATCCAATGGCCCATGAATTCTAACTTCTCCCAATTCATGACATAGCGCGACCCCTAGCCAATGTCTTTAGCAAGTATTTGTCGTCACACCCGACCTGTTGCACCCTACTGGTCACGTTTTCTCATTAGAACCAAGTGGCTTAGTGGTTTACCAGGTCACCTGGGTTCGAACTCCGGTGGGTGCGTACTGCTGAAGAGTCCCAAACTATGACGAAACAGTTATCCAGTACTCCCAGGTTTTCCAATGGTTCTCTAACCAATGTCAGCTCATGATGAAATCTTGTGACAAGGGGACTTGTTGGTACTTCTTCAAGAAAAATCAACAAAGGTCTTACTGTAAGAACAGAATGCAGGATCTTAGACGTATTTTACGAGAAACAACCTGCGACTTATTTACTGAGTAAGCGCTAAGTAATACCTTCACAAATATAACATGTAATCTGAAATTCTGTCGTGATATCTGACTCAAGAAGCTCTGCGATGACAAGGAAAGGTTTTACAGGGGGAAAGATAGCTCTGTCGTGAGGCTTTACATTTTAATCAAGTCTGAAGTGCTGAAACTGAATGTAATTTATAACCAGAAAATTCTATTACATAAAATGTCCTCAAATATGCCGAAATTACTCAGGGAAACTACTGGTGAGAAGAAGATAAATGACGTTCCTTTTCATATATTTTCCAGCAGCTGTCATGGTTTTTAGCATCACAAATCGACAGTGGGGTTATTTTCCTTGTTTTAATACAATAGGTGCTTCTAAATACCCAACCCCGCTTCCACATTTCTTGCACTCTTCATATAGGCTAGGTCTAGAGTGTGTGTGCCGGGTATTATTTTCAGGAAATGTGCAGATATTTTATGCTTTTCTCATACTGTTATTTTCACGGTATCATTTAACATTTAGACAGACATTTTCTGGGTACATAAGTTGTCTACTGGACAATGTATTAAGTTTAAACTTGTTATGATTGCTTACACGCTTTTTGGAAATAATCGAAAAATTACTCTTTCACGATTTTGGACCTTCACTGAAGGCTTCTTATGATCCAAAACGATTTTGCTTATAAACTGGTAGAGGCACTCTGGATCCTTTCACAATATTGTTTGGATAAAAGTGCCAGATATGTTCCGTGAACATTCGTTGATAACACATCCAGTTTTGATTCTGTACCTTGACCTCTTGTTAAATACACTTACTATGACTGGATGCTTGGTCGATTACTGATTGCTGCCTTATTTTTCTGAAAGAAAGCAGTGGACTGTATATAAAGGAAAGTCTTCCATTGCTTTGCTTACTTAAGCCGGTGTCCTTCAAGATGCTGTTCTCTCTTCCTTTCGTTTTTCTTTCTGCTTAAATGACTTATATCATTCTGATGAAGTTATTTTTGTTAAGTCAGTCAGTCTTCTTGATATGCCGATGCCTGTTACTTCCCAATCAAATTATTTTAAAGTGGAAAACGTTTTATCAAAAGTCACCTTGTGGCCCCCAGTCAAATCGTCTTAAGCTAAATTCTTCCAGATGTCATACTATCAATTTCACCTTTAGATATAAACAAGACTTACATGAACTGTTTCATTCCCATGATTCTTTTTACGTAGGGAGGAGTGAATTAGAAATGAAGTTAGATACTAAACATCCCTTGATATTCCCTATATGTCTCAGATCTTATTGATTACCTTAAAAGTATTTTTGGTATAACTACTTAAGTAGGGAAATTAAGACAGTGTACTATCATTGAGTCTTTACTCTTACTAACAATTAACTCTTGCAGTTTCCTAATCTTATTTAATACTCCCTCTTAATGTTTCCTAGGCTACTTAAAATGACTTCGTTAAATTAAGAAAGAGAATAAGAGCTGTCGGGTGTGTGGTATGCCTCTACGCCAACTTGTTGATATTATTGCTGATAGGCATTTGAACTCATGTAACAAATTGGCAAAAGTCATTTTAAAACAATTAGTCCCTATTATAAATTTGGATAGTGTTATTAAAAGACCGAGATTATCTGAAAATGTGATGTATTTGCACTATACATTTCGAATAATCTGATCACACATTTATTTGTCAAGTCGATACATATAAAAAAAATTAAGGGTAATTAAATTAAACAAAGTGACAAAAAAAGGATTTAAGAATGGTTAACGCAACATTCGGTAATCCAATCAAATAAGGATTACCAAGGTATGTTAAGAGTGATAATAAACTGTTTTTGAATACACAGGGTGGGAAGGGGGCGAGATTAGGTTTATGAATGGCTATAGCCTCAACATATTTCAATAAGCGCCCTTGACCATTGTTACAGATGATATGAACGGCTGAGTTAACATGAATCTTCTGGTTCATCTCGATTTTGTCGGAATCTTAACTCCCTCTTTATTCAAAACTATCGTTTTTCATCTTATCAAGTAGAACCGGAAGCAGTTATAGAAGAATTCCTAATTTAAAAAAAAAAAACTCAACAGTAGCTTACCTGGTATGCATCTTATGTGATGAAAAAGCGTTAGTCGTGAAATCGCTGACTCCCATAGACTGACTCCCATAACTTGGTCACTGTTGTAGTATGTAATTCCATATTAATTTGTTTATTAGATATATCATACAGTGAAATAGTATTATTTACTGGATGAGGTTTCGAACACAATTTATTGTTCATAATTATATCAATTATAACCACACAACTTTGAAACTTGAGTTTTATAGTTTTCTTTATTCTCTCCTATTTGTCGTAGGAGTAGCAGAATTCTGCAAATCGCCTGAACGGTTGTTGAACCATTTCTCTTACACGTATTTGCAGTTGATTCGATAAACAAAGCTTCAGTTATCAATCTCTCCATCCACCCTGTTGCATTAGATTTTAAAACTGTCATATTATCCCATCTACCCGATCCTATGGTTGTGAGTAATTACATGTAATGCTGTGGCTTATTTACTCTCCAGAGTAGTTATTTTATTAAGGTTAACTCATCTAAATTTTTCTAGATCTTTGTGTTCCGATGGTATGACTGATTCCCTTCTCCTAATCTGACCTGTATATTTGATCTGATAATCATTGCAGGTTATTAGATAAACTAAATTGTTTTGTTCAATTGGCTCCACAAGATTGATCCTTTAACCGACAAAGCTTGTTTCTAATTGAGTTTGTGGGTTTCAATGCTGCATTCAAACCTTCAATAAATTGTATTGAAAACTTTGCCATCCAATCAATAATACTATTTCACTGTGTGATATATCTAATAAACAAAT